TTTAGCCTACAGAGCATGTCCCTGAGTGAGTTTGTAGGTTTAAATGCCACTCTAATTCCTGCTTCATTTAAAATCCTACGTAGGGTCTCAGATGTCCCCTCTTTATATGGTATAACTGTAGATGACTTATATTCTCTCTTATTTATGTTATCACTACTAGTTTCACAATTATTTTCAATTTGCTTTTGGCCTTTTTCAATCTTCCTAATGAGTTTTATAGAATAGTTATTTAACACTAACGCCTCTTCTATCTGTTTTATTTCATCACTTAGGTCTTTTCTTGTGCTTCTCAGTGCTACTGCTCGGTTTTTTAGTCACTTAATTAATCCTGTCTTTACAGATAACGACGTATGAGATGAATTAAAGTCTAAATATCTATTAGCATAATGTGTTGGTTTTTTATAAACGCTAGTGTGCAGTCCACCTTCCTCTATTTGTTTTATTTTACAATCTAACAGGGCGAAAAAAAGTAGGTTGTTTTCGAGTTCAAAGCTGAAATTGGCAGTTGTATGGAATTAGACTTATTATGAAACCCATGTTTTACTACAAACGCTAAAACTATATTACGATTATGTCACGACCAATAATTCTCATATTGGTCCTTATGCGTATATGTGAGGAAGTACATACATGAGGGAAAGTAACCATATTACTCAACTGAGGGTAAGGTAAAATTCTTCTAAATGACTTAGGTAACACTTATATTCTGAAGATCTACATATGGTATATAACCCTTTAAAAGAATGGGAAAGATTTGTAGCTCAGGTGGATGAATTTTATTTAACTGTATTCTCTGAGCTGATTGATTTAATTGCAAAACTTTTGTCTTCCTTCTGAACAACATCGCTTCATCGTAGGTTTTAGTATAAAATAAACTCATTTAAATTCTCCGTGAATAATATAATTGTATCCACTGGCAACGATTGTCGTGATTGGTTGTTAATTTATATCTCTATTGATCGTTTTTATTGATTTGGAATTTGAACTTTCTTGTCATATGATTTATTTTCTATTAATTAGCTGGTAAATTTGGTCTATAGTAGTAATGTGTTTGTTAATTGCTAATTCATTTGAGTAAGAAGACTTCTAGAAATTCGCTGAGTGCATTTTTGGTGTTTCCTCTATTTAAAATTTCTACATTACTCCAATCCCTTTCCATCTATAATCAAAAAAGAAAACTGACTAAAAGGTATCTTCAAATTCGTGTCAAAATAGCTCTTAAGATTCTAAGTAGAAAAAGGTAGATGTTACATAATGAGATTTACTGAGACTGTGGACAGTTCGTTAAACTCCACTCGCTTTTGAGTATGTTAGGAAAGATCTTAAGAGGTGAAGTGGAACGATAATCAGAGTTTAAATAAATATCATAAAAGTACGAAGGAAATGGAAAATAAGAAAGGGTAGGAGGGTTTTGAATAGAATTCACCTAGGCCTAGCGAGAGGCTAAGGTAGAACAAACTTCTTTTGTTGTATGCAAAGAATAGGATTGTTCTCTCGAATTCCCATAGCTTCGGCTAAGTGTAAAAGACGGGTTCTGATTCCGTACGAAAGACTCGATGGAATGCGATAGATAACTTTGAAGGCACTATTTTTGGTCCACTTGGTGACCGCTATCAATCAAATGAGCCAAAATAGAACTTCGTATGGATTTTATTTGACCTTTTCCGAACCATGAAGGAAGATGCGCATTAATGCGTTTGTTAAGCTGTCTAGTTGTTCGCCCTATATAGCTTTCTTTGCATACAAAAGAAGTTTGTTCCACCTTTGTCTCTCCCTTGGCCTAGGTGAATTCTATTCAAAACCCTCCCACCCTTTCTTATTTTCCATTTCCTTCGTACTTTTATGATATTTATTTAAACTCTGATTATCGTTCCACTTCACCTTTTAAGATTTGACCCATGTTAGGAAAGAGGTTATCTTTTTTTATTTCATCTGACTTGGCAACTTTTTTCCCGCCGATTACATCTTCATTGGTAGTACCACAAGATAACCATTATACTACTACTTTTACATCTAATCCCCTCAGTGTTGTTATCTGTTTCGTAAACCTACCGCGGTCAAACTTGGATTAGTGATTCTTCTTCTCACCAAGAGTGCTTCTTCCCTTTAACTCTCTTGATTTCTTTTTTGTTTTTGTGATTTTTTATTTGCTTATTAATACAGTTATTATTAGTATTCGTTATAGTTTATACCCTTCATTCAAACATTCTCTCAATACTATCGAATTTTCCATTTATACTATCCGGACTTATTATTAGTAATTTTATCTCTTTTCTGAATATATGCCTCCATCTGTTTCATTTCACACATTGGTTATTTCATTATGAACCTCTCATGACAGTCCTACTATCTCCTCTGGATTAATATATGTGTACAACTTGGGTACTGTGTTAGTATGTAATTCCATGTTAGTTTGTTTATTAGATGTATCACACAGTGAACAAACAGCATTATTTACTGGATGGCAAAGTTTCGAACACAATTTATTGATGTTTATAATCATATAAATTATAATCCCACAACTTCGAAACTTTCGTTTTATAGTTTTTCTTTATTCTTTCGTATTCGTCGTCGTAGGGGCAGTAGAATTTTCCAGATGTCTGGTGGATAGGTGTTGAATCATTCCTATTACATGTGTTTGCAGTTGACTCGATAAATAAAGCATCTGTTATCAATCTTTCCCTCCATCCTGTTACATTAGATTTAAAAACTGTCATCTTATCCCATCCTATTGTATGGTTGTGTGTAACTGCATGTAGTAAGTGGTATAGCTGGACTATTCTCCAGATTTCTTTTCTTATTAGATTCAACTAATCTAGATTTTGCCAGGTTTGTGTGCTCTACTAGTCTGACTGACTTCCCCTGTTCTACCACTTTGACCTGTGTATTTGACATGACAAACATTGCAACAGGGTATTAGATAAACTAAATTGTTTTGTTTAGTTGGCTCCACAAGATCCTTTAACCGAAAAGGCTTATTTCTATTTATGGGTTTGATTGCCAACCACTTTTATTCCTGCATTTTTAAGAATTCTTCTATGTTTGGTTGGAGGATTTCATCATTAGCTGACATCAGTTAGAGAACCATTGGAAAACCTGCAGGGAGTACTGGACATCTGTTCCGTCAGTCTAGTTTGGAACTCTTTAGCATTACGCACCCACCGCAAGGGTTCGAACCCAGGACCTTCTGGTTACAAGGCTAGGGGGCTCGTAGACCATTAAGCCACTGGGATCCGATCAGATGGCCAGTCCATGAATTCTAACTTCTGCGAATTCATGACATAGCGCGACCACTTCGCAATGTCTTCTTCGATGAGTTACTGGCTGACCTTCAGCCTGCTGTACCTTACTGGTCACGCCTTCCCACTAGAATCCCAGGTTACTGCTTGAATAGCCAACCAATTATGATTGCTCAAGCAAAAGATAAGCTGCCTAGCTGTGCCATTTCTATATGCATTTATAAGTTAAGCTGTTTCTGTGGAGAAAGCTAATATAGGGCGGACAAATAGACAGCTCAACAAATGCATTGCTGAGCATCTTCTTTCATGCTTTGGAAAAGACTAAATAAGTTCTACAAGAAGTTCTATTCTGTCTCATCTGACTGATGGCGGTCACCAAGTGGACAGAAGAATTGTCTTCAAGGTTACCTATCGTAATCCATTCAACCTTTCGAATTGAATTCAAACCCGTCTTCTACACACAGACAAAGCTATGGGAGGGAATTCGAGAGAACCTCCCCAGTCTTTGCATACGAAAGAAGTTTGTTCTATCTTTGTCTCCCCATTGACCTAGGTAAATTCTAATTTAAGAAAACCTCCCACCCTTTCTTATTTTCCATTTCCTTCGTACTTTTATGATATTTATTTAAACTCTGATTATCTGTCCACTTCACCTTTAGTATTACGTAACTTTTAAGATTTGACCTAATTTATTTATTGAATTGTTTACATAAACATACTACTTTCAATCATCAAGTAATATGTATAAATTTTTCGCGAAAATATGAAAGATAATCACTCTCAAGAGAGTATTCTTTAAAGCTTTTTGTTTTAACTCTTCATTCCTAAAAGAAAATGTTATAAAAACGAGAAAGTTCCAAAAATAAGATGCTTAGAAGAGCGAAAAAATGAGTTCATTAGTTTTACAATTATCCTCTATCTTCTGTAATATTAGATAAAGATTTTACAGGCAGGATGAAGGTGACAACTCTTCTGTTTTTTATAATACCGTTTTGTTATATTATGGTGTATTGTTTTCGTGAATGGGAAATAGAGCTTCAGACTTTTGAGCTTTCAATAGCGTAGATATTGTTTTACGAGGTGTGGTTGTCATTCCTACACCCAACCTTCCCACTTAATACAGGCTAGGTGAAGTTTAAGAGTGCGTCAGTCGGAGGTTGAACCTGAACCACTTATGTGTAAACAGTTATCTGTTAGGTCAGTTGGACCACGTTGTGATGTATACTACTTATAATTAAATATAAGTAGGGCATCAAGCAACGTCGTCGGAGAAGCAATGATCATTTTTGTATCAATAGGTAAGTCGCTGTCGCTCTCATCAGTATTTTTCTCACTAAAACAGTGAGGTAATAGACGTTTTATTATCAAGCTAGAAGGCTTATTAAAACAAAGTTAGTGTTGATAAAGTATGAAAACAAATATTCACTAATGAAAGTTAACTGTTCATGAGGCCATCTCACAAATTAACAGAAAATGGCAATTTATACATCTTTTATATTAAAGGAATGGTGGCTGGCAGTAAAATCTAAGATGATCATTTCGTCCTGTTTGCGACTCGTCATCCGGATGTGATGATGGAGACTTGAACACAGTGCCCATCGTTTCAACCGCCGAAGCTGACCAGTCGTTAAGGCGCGTGTACAAGGAGACTGTACATCTCATCCCAGTATAATCAACCAATACAATCGATATTCTATTACTTTAATTTATCTAATAATGAATGGTTTCCTTCAAATTCCCCCGTTTTTTTTCCCCAACTAGGTGAAGCATGGTTCCCATTTGCTGAATTACCGGAATTAGCTAAAATTGCTTTAACTGGTGTTGATAATCCAGATATTCAAACGTTGGCTGATGCTTTACCGCCAGAAACTCGTCAAAATTTCCTAGAACAACAGCAACAGCAGCAACAACAACAACAGCTGCAGCAGAAGAAGAATCAACGTGCCTTACCTGATCCAAGATCTAGAAGATAAATATATTCAGTAATGACAACAACTTAGAATTTCAGCATTGTTGTTTTTTGTGGTTTTGTGTTTCCTCGGCTCCATTTTTAACTTTGAGATTACAAACGTGTGTCTTTCTTGCCTTTTCATCTAGTGACAATTAATTATAGATTTATTTGTTTGTTTGTTTATTGATTTTACTTTTATTTTTTTGAAGGATTAACTTTTTGTCAGTTTCTTCTATAAATATTGATTTTATTCACATCATATTATCCATCTTCATTGCTATGAATATAATCGCCGTTGTCATAATCATCAGCATCGTTGAAATCGTCGCCTACAGTTCCATCATCATCATCATTGTGATTCTCCCTCAGCTAGTAAAATCAATACTCTGACTGTAAATCAATAGTTGAGTAATAAAATTGATCGCAGAATTACACAAATCAGATAATTTTCCTAAAACAAACAAATATACACAGATTGTGAATCAGTTTCATGCCTTTTTAAAAGTGAAAGAAGAGAGGGTTAGAGAGTGAGGTAGAAAGACGGGGAGCCTACTGACCTAATCATCTTATTCTATTATGCATACGTACTTTTGTCATTCATTATTTTACTCAATTCTCATTTCCCTAGTGTATTTTTCTGTTGTTCTTGTTGTTGTTGCTTGTTTTAGTTTATTTCTCACGATAGAAAAGTGCATTTTTTCTAAATTTATTTCAGGTGGGATTTCTATTTTTTTCATTTTACTAAAACAATTAAACAAACAAAGAAAAACCAAAATGAATACATTTTAGAATTTCAAGTTTCAATATGTATTATAATAATAATAGTAATAATAAAGAGTAATAAAAGAATGTATACAAATATTTACGTAACCATGGTTACCATAAGTAATTTATTAAATATACTTTTTTTTTCCGTATATGTAGGAGTATATCTCATTGAATTCAGCGTTTGATCTTGGTTTTAGGTTAGAATCCTACTTGATCAATTTTATGCCTAGATAGGATAGATAGTATTGTGGTGAGAGCTGTCTGCTAGCCAAAATTGGTAGACAGCAATTTACGTCAATGTTTACACGTCCCATATTGTGGTCATGAGAAAAAACACAAGAACAAAGACTAACTCAACAACCAATCACAGCAGACTTTGCGTGGGCGGATACGATTCGCAGCTATATGGTCTGACCTTCACCAAAAAACGGCCACAAAGAGATGATAGGTTAACTTTCAGTGAGAAAACAACCAATCAGAAGACACTGTTTCTCTGCTTAGAGTAACGAATAATAATGTACTTAAAAATCTATAAATATCTGTTGATTTTCTCAATAAAAGATCTGTTGCCTGGCCATTGTCTTCTATCGTTACAGTATCACCAGTCCTTGTTCAACAAGTGTACAAAAAAAAGGTGATTCCAGTTAGTTAACTGAGTCTTAATAAATGATGCTTATTTCATTTGTTACATCTTCGTCACGAATCAACTACAGTTAGAAATCGCTGAGTACGAAGAATCGCCGGACAACTGTTTTTTCCCAATGTGAGACTTTTCATCCGTGTGCACCCGCAACTCCACCCAGGATGGAACTCGTGACCTTCACGTCACCATATCAAGCTCGTCGACCATTCAGCCATTTGGGCGGCCAGAATTTAATTCCCAGAGAATTCTAACTGTTGAAATTCAATTTATTCAAATCTCCATGGATCCTATAATCAAGATAATATTTATTTATTGTGTTGAAGGGATTGAAGTCCAATCTACTGTATATATATTTATATGTGTGTTTGAGTAACTGTCATTTGTTGTTCAAAATAAAGCGGAACAATAGTCATGCAATGTGATTCGAAAAGATTCATCGGTAATTTTTTTCTCGAATTTTATAAATGCTTGGAAGAAGAGAAGTCAACTGATGACGTTTATGTCAGTAGTCGTTTACTTTGTCAAGGGTTGTGTTTAAAAACAATTTGTAATGGGGACTTTTAGAAGGTGAAGAATGCCGGCTGTTAGGCGTGAGATACACTATATGCAAATACAAGACAGATCAAAACATCATCGGAAATATGTCATGTATATTTCAGGATCAGAAGTGTAGATATATAATCATTGCCTAACTACTGGCTACAGTTCGTTCACGAACGACCTAATGTAACACAATATCATGCAAAATGGACTGCTTGGATGTTTGACTGTGTATTTTAAGCTTCACGAGTCGAGTTAAACAGTGAAGATCAGCATCCAGTGTTGTTGAATGAAAAATTCTGTAGACTAATAATTTTTGGGAATTATTTACCGGCATATCTCAGATCTTAAGGCAAATGGAGAATACAATACTGAGTTACAAGAACCATAAGAGAATACTTGAAATAATAAAGGCAATCCGATACATTAGAAATGATTGGGTAACATGTAAGTGTTTTAGTGTTGAACTTGTTGCTTGTGTAGCAGTGGGTAATTCCATATCACAAGAGACCTCACTGTTGATAATATCACTCCAGACCACTTATACTGCTAGTTTAGCAGTAGGTAATTCCCCAGAGTTATTAGTCACATCATTCATCAATGAACATTGGATGCTGACTCTCACTGTTTTAGTCGATTTGTTTAGCTGAAGGCTTACGGCCACATAAGGACCTGCAGAGGGCTTCGGCGCACTGTTTCGGGACAGATGGCCTGATTTTGTCACAACCTGGGGACTTTACAGATGTGAGTCACTGTAGCTTTCCTAGTATTATGGTCAGGTTTATTTGAGGACTAGACACCAGGTTTTCCTCTGATGAAATAGTGGTGCCACCATTTTGGTCCGTAACGGTAATACCCACAATGCTGTTTAGCTGTTTGACGAAAGATAAACCGAATGTTTTCTCCATCTCCAGACTAGTGAGATATTGACCGTCTGGACCTACTAAGGCGCATGCCCCCTGGTTGGTCGGTTTTCTTTCCGACATGAATCGATACAAGCTTTTGTGGTTTGGTGGGAGTGTTTTAGCAAGGTTAGCCTGAAATGACCTCCTTTTACTCGTGACTCCCACGTTGCACGGGTTCCTGAGTTCCATGTATGCATCGTAGTCGATCTGACTCTTAGATACGCGCCACGTAAACCAAGTTTTCCGCTTTGCCTGCAGGATACGTTGCGTGCTTTTCTTTAACCAAGATGACTTTCTTTCGGCCATTTGGCACTCCGTGGTTCGTTTTTTCGTGTCCGATGCCTACTTAGTTAAGCAGTCAACCTCATGCGATCTGGTCCCTAAATATAATTCGTAGCTTGGATGGTCAATTCTGGTGTTTTGCTTTGCTTTTGGTCTACGTGGAACGAATACTATAGAAGTTGTATAAGTCGTACTCTCTCTAAACGTCAACATCCCCATCCTATAAACTTGTATTCTGAAATAAATTTAGGTTATGTAGTCAGTTTATTGTTTTTATCATCGAGTGGGTCTAATGTGATATACCTAGTAGCAAAGGACTATTACACTAAACCTTTGATTTTTGGTAGGTTCGCTTGTTGGGGAAGGGGGTAGGTTTCTTTTATGAAATTCCGTGGATATCCATTCTTTTGGAAGACGTCCGTTTAATGTCACACAAACTCGAAGACTTAAAGGCAAAAACTGACAGAAGAGGCAGGCAGCGAAGACAGGACTTCAGGTGGGCATGGAGAAGGCGCAGGTGATGAAGATAACCAACCACGCATCAGCAGCAACAACAGCCAGCACCTATCACCATCAACGGGGGAGATTTAACAGAGGTCACTTTCTTCACTTGTCTAGGAAGCATCGTTTCAACTACAGTCACTCGGATAGCACGGATGAAGATGCCAAAGCTAGTCAGAATTGGAAGGGCAAGGTACGCCTTCATCAACTTGAAACCACTTTGGAAATCTTCTGCACTCAATTAGCCAGCATAAAGAAGAATATTTGGATTTTCAGCTCTGATGTCAAGTCGGTCCTTCCATACGGGTCAGAAACTTGGCCAGCGTGTCACGAAAAGGATTTTCAACAGCTAGTGGCAGACTTTTATCAACAGCTCTCTACTTCGCTGGCTGGCTCAATACTGAAGATCAAATGGCCAACCGGCTGACCAGAAAGAATAAGCAGTAAGAAACTCTGGTTGGGAACAAACCAACCAAGAGCCGGCAAATATGTAGGATAAAATGGAGATGGATCGGGCATACACTGACTGAGGAGACCGTTGAATGACATCGCGTGCCAGACTCTTGAGTAGAATCCCAGCGGGAAGTAACGAGTGGGTAATCGGTATGAGGGTGACATGGATGCGGTCGTGTGTTGAGGAGGAGGAGATGAGAGATTATGGGCAGTCGTGGACCCACCTGAAGAGGACGGCAGAAGATAGGACAAAGTGGAGATGATGAATAAGCAATGAATCAACCTGCTAATTAAGTCATCTCGTATTTTAAAAGACGTTTCATTATTTACAGGATTTCATCATGAGCTGATATCGCTGAGAGAAGGTTTGGAAAACCAGCAGAGAGTACTAGACAGACGTCTCGTCCCAATTTGGGACTCTTCATTAGTACGCAGCCACCGGGGTCCGAAGCCTGGACTTTCCGGTTGCAAGACGAGCTCATATACCATAAAGTCACTGGGACCTGATCCAGTGATTAGCCCGTGAAGAATTCCAACTTCTGCCAATTGTTGTTTAAGGAATACCAAAAGAAACGATGTGTTTTATGTTTTGATAACTTCTATTGACTAACCCTTTTAAGTATTTGTTTGCAGCATGAAACTTGTATTTTTGATGATACATTCTACTGAAATCAGAACTTTCTCAGAGACACTCTGTTCTGGACTAAAAGAAACCAACTCTTAAACTCTACAATTCAACTTTCTTCACAGCAATAGAAAAAAATTAAAAGATAAATTCAGCGAAGAAAATTTTCTTTATCGATGAAATCATCTTCACAGGCTGTACAATCATATTTATATTTACCGAAAATGTATAATAATCCATTTATTGAGTAATAAGGAGTGACATTATTGATATAATTACTCAGAAGTGGCTTTAGAAGTAAAAAA